CCACTGTCGAAGAAGAAACTCTACTCAGTTTGAGAAGGGAAACAGTGAAGCCCTTGATGAAGTTACTGCCACTGATGTGACTGTTACCAATGATAGGACGTTTCCTTATGAAGCTGATGAACCCCACATGAAGCAGAAGCCAACGAGACGGAGACCAGTACGGAAGAAGAAACTCTCGTAAAATTAAGAGACTTTGTTGAATTTTGATTTTGTGTTTGTAAAATCTGTTAATTAAGTTATTGTTAATTGTTTATTGGTTTAATGTAAGTGGCTATTATTCGAGACGAACAATACTAAGGAAGGGGCAGTGTTACGACAGCGGAGGTCACGTGACGCTAGTAACACGTCATGTGCTTCTAGAAAATTTATGTCCCTTCGTGAAGCCTCGGGTGTTTATTAGATGTGCGGTACTCTTCTATATAAGACCGCCAAGAAGTGACGGCAACAATGTAATTGAATTGCAGACAGAGATAGAGACGAACAATTGAGTCAAGCGCGTGAGTCGTTCGCTGTGAATTATAGCGTTTGTTTAAGTTATATCGTGACTGTGGAAATTAAGTGTATTGCAAAGTTGTATTGAGAAAGAATAAACTAGTTTTATTTAAGAAAGGACTTGTGTCGCTAAAGTTTCATCGGAAAGAAATCATACGGGAAATTAACTAACGACCAGAGACGTAACATTATGTTTAGGAAGAAATTTTTTTGGGAGCTTGCAAAAATCAATCCGAAATTAAACTTGTAAATTATTTTGATATTTAAGTATAAGATTAAATAAATCCAACTTTACATTGAATTAATTTAAACTTTGAAGTTTTTTTTATGTATGAAAAAATAATTACAAGTTGAATTTCATCAATTTTTTTAACTCAGTGTTGCAGTTTTTGCCCTCGAGGCGACCTGTAACCTTCCAGGTGTAGCAGAGTTAACGTGGGAAAAATACAACTTAGCTGTACTGTGGTACATTTGATAATAAGGTATTTTATTATAATTTAGTGATGTTTAAATCATCACTGTATGTGCTGTTAAAGGTAAAATAATGTTATTAATACTTTCGGTCAACTTTAGGAAGACATTGT